AGCAACCCAGATGTACTGTGAGCCACGAGTGAAGTATGGCAAAGAAAACTGAGATACGGTACGTGGTATTGACCTATCTGAATAAAGATCATATAAAAAGAAGGAAGGTGTTCTTGGATTTAGGAAAAGGAAACCAAAGGCCAAAGTTTGGGGAGTGTTTTTCCAGTATTGCCCAAGAGACAGACTAGATCTAGGGATTACAAATAATCTTGTCCCTAGAGAGGGTTATACGGTAATTTGTCAAGGTCCACAAATAGTCTGCAGAACCGCCTGCACCAATTTATATTCCCACTAACAGTGCATGAGAGTTTCCTTCTTTCTGTAGCCTCACCAAAACTTGTTATTTCTAAACTTTTTGATAATAGTCATTCTAACAGGTATGAGGTGATATCTCGCTGTGTTTTTGATTTGCATTTCTCTGATGATTAGCAGTGTTGAGCTTCTTCTCATGTGCCTGTTGGCCATCTGCATTTCCTCTTTGGAAAAATGTCTATTCAGATCTTCTGTCCATTTTTTAATTGGATTGTTCTAGTTTTTGTTTTTTGACACTTTTTTCTTTTTGCTATTGAGTTGTGTGAGTTCTTTATATATTTTGAATATTAGCCCCTTATCAGATACATGATTTGCAAATATTTTTTCCCATTCAGTAGGTTGCCTTTTCATTTTGTTGATAGTTTCCTTTGGTGTGCAGAAGCTTTTGATGTAGTCCCACGTGCTGATTTTTGCTTTTGCTTTTGGTGTCAGATTTTTTGAAATCAAGACCTATGTCAAAATGCTTAACATCCATGTTTTCTTTTAGAATTTTTATGGTTTAAGTCTACTTTCAAGTCTTTAATCCTTTGAGTTAATTTTTGTGTAGTGTAACATAGTGGTTCAGTTTCACTCTTTTGCATGTGGCCATCCAATTTTCTCAGTACCCTTTACTGAAGAGACTGTATCCATTGTATACTCTTGGCTCCTTGGTCATAAATTAATTGACCATATATATGTGGGTTTATTTCTGGCTGCTCTATTCTGTTCCATTGATCTATGTATCTATATTTATACCAATACCATGCTATTTTAAGTTACCATAGCTTTGTAATATAGTTTGAAATCAGGGAGCATGATACCTCAGGCTTTGTTCTTTCTCAAGACTGCTTTCACTATTCAGGGTCTTTTATAGTTCCAGACAGACTTTAGGACTGTTTGTTCTATTTCTGTGAAAAATGCAACTGGAATTTTGATTGGGATTGGACTGAATCTGTATATTGCTGTGGGCAGTATAAACATGTTAAAAATACTGATTCTTCCAGTCCATGAGCATGGAACATCTTTCCATTTATTTGTGTCTTCTTCAGTTTCTTTCATTAATGACCTACAGTTTTCAATCCTTGGTTATATCCTCTCATATCCTCGGTTAAATTTATTCCTGGGTATTTTATTCTTTTGATGCAATTATAAATGGGATTATTTTCTTAATTTCTCTTTCTGATAGTTCATTATTACTATATAGAAAGGCAACAGATTTTTGTGTATTGATTTTGTATCCTGCAACTTCACTGAATTTATTAGAGATGACAGTCATTTGATGGAGTCTTGGGGACTTTCAATATATAATATCATGTCATTTGCAAACAGTGACAGTTTCATTTCTTCCTTACCAATTTGCATAGGGTTTTTTTCGGATTTTTTTTTTTTTTTGTCTGTTTGTTTGTTTGACTAATTGCTCTGGCTAGGACTTACAATACTATGTTGAATAAGAAGTAGCAAGACTGGCTCTTGTTCCAGATCTTAGAGAAAAAACTTGTCTTTTCCAGATCTTAGAGAAAAGACTTTCAGATTTTCACCATTAAATATGATGTTAGCTGTGGGCTTGTCACATATGGCCTATACTATGTTGAGGTATGTTTCCTCTACATCCACTTTGTAGAGTTTTTGTCTAAATGGATGTTGAAGTTTGTCAAATGCTTTCCCTACAACTATTAGGACCATTGTATGATTTTTATCCTTCATTGTGTAAGTATGGTATATCACATTGACTGATTTGTGGATCCCTAGAATAAATCTCACCTGATCATGGTGTATGATCATTTTAATGTATTACTGAATTCAGTTTGCTAATATTTTGTTGAGAATTCTTGCATCTGTGTTCATCAAGGATATTGGCCAGTAATTTTCTTTTCTTGCAACATCCTTATTCTGGTTTTGGTATCAGGGGGATGCTGGCCTCTAAAGTAAGTATGGAAGAGTTCCCTCCTCTTGTGTTTTTTGAAAAGTCTGAAAAGGATTGGTATTAATTCTTCTTTGAATGTTTGGTAGAATTCACTGGTGGAGCTGTCTGCTCTTAGACTTTTGTTTCTTGGGAGGTTTTTGATTACTTATTCAATCTCCTTACTAGTCATCAGTCTGTTCATATTTTTTATTTCACCATTCCAATCTTGGAAGGTTGTATGTTTCTAGGAATTTATCCATTTCTTCTGGGTTGTCCAATTTGTTAATGTTTTGTTGTTCATAGTAGTCTCATGATCCTTTGTATTTACGTGGCATCAGTTTAACATCTCCTCTTTAGTTTATTTTATTTATTTGAGTCCTCTATCTTGGTGAGTCTAGCTAAAGGTTTGTCAATTTTATCTTTTCAGAATACCAGCTCTTAGTTTCATTGATCTTTTCTATTGCTGTTTTAGTCTCTATTTCATTTATTTCCAGTCTAATCTTTGTTATTTTCTTCCTTCTACTAACTTTGGACTTCATTTGTTCTTCTTATTCTAGTTTCTTGAGGTATAAAATTAGGTTGTTTATTTGAGACTCTTGTTTATTTATTTATTTATTTTTACTGGGTGTATAGGTCTGAGTGATCCTGAAAAGGGGTGGCAGGATGTAACACTCAGGCTGAGGCTCTTCCAGTCATGACCTGCTCCTATGGCACCCTCAGGCCAGTGATTGGGCAGGCACTGCCAGAAGGTTCACTTGCAGCTCACAGGCACTACTGACTTGGAGAAGATTTATTGTTTCTTGAGGTAGGCATTTATCACTATGAAATTCCCTCTTAGAACTGTTTTTGCTGCATCGCATAAATTTTGGTATGTTACCTTTCTGTTTTCATTTATCTCAGATTTTTTTTTTAATTTCTCTTTGGATTTCTTCTTTGATCCATTGGCTGTTCCGTAGTATGTTGTTTAATCTCTACATACTTGTGAATTTTCCAGTTTTCTTCATGTAATTAATCTCTAGTTTCATACCATTGCGGGCAGAAAAAAATGCTTGATATGACTTCAATTCTTTTAAATTTATTTACTTATTTTGTGACCTAATATATGATCTATCTTGTAAAATGTTCCACGTGCACTTGAGAAGAATGTATATTCTGTTACTTTTGAGTGGAATCTTCTGTAAATATCTGTTTAGTCCATCTGTCCTAATAAGACCAATGTTTCCATACTGATTTTCTGTCTCGATGATCTATCCATTGATGTAAGTGGGGTGTTAAAGTCTCCTAGTATATTTCTCTTTTAAGGTTTGTTAATATTTGCTTTATATATTTAGATGCTCCTATGTTGGTGCATAAATATTTACAAGTGTTATATCTTCTTATTAGATTTACCCCTTTATCATTATGTAATGCCTTTCTTTGTTTCTTATTACAGTCTTTGTTTTAAAGTCTATTTTGTCTGATACAAGTATAGGTACTCCAGCTTTCTTTCGGTTTCCATTTGCATGGAATATATTTCTCCTTCACTTTCAGTCTGTTTGTCCTTACATCTGAAGTGAGTCTCTTGTAGGTAGCATATAGATGGCTCTTTTTTTAAATCCATTCAGCTACTCTATGTCTTTTCATTGGAAAACTTAATCTATTTACATTCAAATTAATTATTGATAAGTATATGCTTATTGCCATTTTGTTAATTGTTTCCTGGCTGTTTTTGTAATCCCTTTCTGTTCTTCCCTTGCTTTCTCCCTTTGTGGTGTGCTGACTTTCTTTAGAGTTATGCTTATATTCCTTTCTCTTTATCTTTTGGATATTTACAATAGGTTTTTGCTTTGTGGTTACCATGAGGCTTATATATAACAACTTACATCTATAACAGTATATTTTAAGTTGATAATAACTTAACTTCAATGCCATCCCTATTATAAGATGCCAGTTATAGTACATTACGGGCTACTTTACTCTTAATCAATTACATCTGCAATGAATTACTCTATTTCCAAATAAGGTCACATTCCAAGGTACAAGGAGTTGGGTCTTCAGCATATGAATTTGGAGGGGACACAATTCAACCCATAAGGTCACCATTTCTCTCTTGTGATTTGGAGATCACCAAACAACTTTCTGGTCACTAGGATAGATCCCCAGGTACCTAGGGTTTAGTAGTGAGGGTCCTGGAGAACATACAGGAGTCTTTTGGTCATGGGACATGAATGCCCCCATTGTGAACTGGCATTACATTCACTCAGGTGTCTTCAGTGGGTCTGACTAGCATGAATCAGTCCCTGAGAACCTGGTCACTCTGGTTGCATTGATAATGTGAGTTCTGGGGACTACACAACTGTGATGACCCCTCAGACTTCTCTGCAGAACTAGCTGGCTTCTCTCTCTGACATTATTGTGGCCTCTCTATAACTACAAGAGGGAGCTCCATCTCAGAAGAATCAGAAAAACAGCTAGCGAAGCCAGAAGATATGCCTAGTGCACATCGCTCACCAGCCCTATTTCCCAGCAATCTCCACACCCAACCTACTTCTAAGATTCCAGAACTGACATCCTCAAAGGGGAAGAATGGCATACTGCATGCTCTAACTTTAAAAGGGGATGGAGGTACCTGAGTCACAGACAGGGATTCCCAGATATTTTGCCACAGACAGTCCATCCTTTACTGGCCATATCTTCCCTGAACAACTAGAATTTTTGAAAAAGGGTAAACTTCTGACAGCTAGTCCTGCAGACCAGGGTACATTATCAACCCAGGAAAATACCCACCTGCCTTTAGTATGCTCTCTGGCAGGACAGCCCACAGTACCTTTTGTATCTGGGAGGCTCCACTGAGGAAAAGGAAGGTCTTCACTTCAACTTAAACAAACATTCTTCCCTTTCTGGCACCATCAAATATCTTTCAAGTCCTGTGTCCCTAGAAAGAATACAGGGCTAAGACTTAAATGAAGTTTCGTAGAATCCCAGACATTGTCATAAACTAGGAAAAAAAGTTGTCTTAGATTAGCTTAGACATTTTATCAATTAATCTCCTTGTTCTATCCATAGAAAAGGATATAAGTCAAAGGGCCTTAAAATGGCTCAGCTATGGTTGGTTAAGTATAGAATACGAACTCTGAGGGCCATTAGCACTAACTCTAAGCTTGAGGGTTTTAGATCCAAGCCAAGTTTCTTTACAAATCAAATCACAACAGCTGAAACTTGAGTGCAATGAGATTTCCAAACACTAGTGATTGACCCAGAAATTTAATCCAACAAAATTTTAATACCATAGAAGCCCTCTTAACGAAACACTGCTTAACTAACTCACTGGATTAACCTTCACTCTCTAACCCCCTGTAACCCCCACTGATGCCAGGTGCACTGAATGCTAGGAGGCTACGTTTTAACACAGTATTTTTCGAACTGTAGGTCTTCATATTAATTTACTGGGTTGAAATAAATTCACTGGGTCATGACTAACATTTTAAACAGTGAAACAGTATAGAGCAGTTGAATTGTGTGCTTAGAATTACTTATTTATTTTAAAATGTGATTATGATTATTACATAAAACAATGAAATATGAGTACAAAAGAAAAAAAACAAGTAAATAAACCAGACGTGAAAAATGATATAAAATGAAGCTGAATGATTTGAAAATACTCTATAAAGGCTGGTCACTAAAAAATAAATAAAAATTGATGTCAAATTAGTTGTGAGCTAGAAAATAGTAAAAGATGAGAAAAGAAATTGTAAAGCCTAAAACCTCGCTGATGTTGTTTTACAAGTATCTTTACGTTATCTCCTCACTACAGAAAAACAAAAGCTAGAAATCCTAAACCCAATGAATCAAGAGTGGGGGGCCAATGCAAGCAAAAATGATGACTAATTTCAATGAGCGGACCCACACATTAAGCCCAACATCTAAAGACTGGGGAATGAATGTACAATTATATGCTCTAAGTAAAAGTAAAAAGTTTAGGGTTTAAGGTATTTTATAAGTCTCAATCAAATTTTTTAATTTTGGCCAATCCTTGGAATATGATGGAATGGGCCTTGACTGTTATGAACTCACTGCCCCTATCAAGGAAGGACAGAATCACCAAGCATTCCAAATGCATCAGAAAATGTACTCAGATGAGGAGGGCAAAGTACAGAAAAAAATAATAGTCCCACATCAGGATGGACTATCCATTTATAAGCTAAGGACTTGTAACTGGCCTAGATAACTAGTTTTCTGTGGAGATTCTCCTGTCTCCTCCTTCTCGCTTACTTCTTGCCTTACTACAACTGGCTACTCCTTTCTGCCTCACTGGCTGCTGTAAGTTTATCTACTTTGACCTATTAAAGCTCCTGTGATAATTCTCTATACATCATTGCTTATATATGTATGTCCATCAATGAAACCCTAAGCTCCTGGAAGATAAAGACCAGGTCTTGCCTGGTATTCCCAGCATCAGCACAGGGCCTGGCGCTTGGTAGGTGCTTAGTAAATTCTTGTTGAATGAATGACTCTGTGTAATAAATCAAGCCATTGTCCTAATTTTCAATCAAGATGGAAGGTAGCTCTATTTGAAGTAAATTATAAATTTAAAAAAACTTTTAAAAGTATTACAGTAATAAAAGCAGGAGTGCACTGGTGTATCTTTAAGCCAAAAAAAAAAAGTCACTGGAAAGGTCAAAGTTCACTAGACTGATACAACTTAGTTGAAATAACCATTAAAACTATTCCATTCACTTTGCCTTTACTCTGGATTTAACGTGAACTCTTTTATGGTTTTCATTCCCTGCCTGGGATCTTAACCTTTCAAAGGAAGTCAAGACAAGTGATATTCTGGTTACTGAAAAGGAGATGTCATTATACTTCAAACTAATAAATCGATTTTCTAGCACAAATCAGAAAAGATTTGCTGGTCTGAAAAAAAAAGAGGAAAATTGTTGCTTTATTCTCAAGAGTTTTCCTCCTCCATCTCAACATATCTAAAATATGATCATTTTTATCAGCTAAATTGTACAAATAAAGTACTTTTCCTGAGTAACAGAGTAACACATACTGACAGTAAAAAACTTGGAAAGGACTAAAAAGTGTAAAGCAGGAGAAAAAAAACCACTCAATCCTACTACAGCAGGGCATCAGCTCTAAAACTGGTCATGTTCACTATCAATTGTCTTTTTTTACAATTTTCTTTATATAATTAAGATTATTACACATGATACCTTTTTATGGTCCTAAACTAACAAGATAACTTCATCTATTAAGTTTTTTTTCTATTTACCCTACCCCATGAAGAGTTTCCCTTTTCCAAAACTTCAAATTTTCTAGAAAAAAAATCTCTCTCTAGGTATCAGTGAGATTTTATTGATCAGTCAATTCACAAACATTTATTGAACACAAGCTATGTGCAATGTATCAAATTGGTGTCACTGAGTATACAAAGAAATAAATGCATGTTTAAAGAACTTAAAAAAGCAGGTTGACGAAACAATCACCTATATATAGACAAAGAAAACATGTCAAGCAACCCCCTGCTTAATGGGCTAGGTGGCAAAGTAAAGGGGTGCAGAAGAGGCGACACCCAGAGTAACTCAGGTGTAAGAGGGCCCATGGCTCTGACACATAAGACTAGATAAATTTACGTGAATTATTTCATTGAATCCTCCAGTCAACCTTAGAAGGTGGGTATTATTATTACCTTCATTTTACAATGGTGGAAATTGCAGTGTAGGGAGGTTAAGTTATCTGCCTCAAAGCATAGAGCTAGTCAGTGGTGGAGCTGAGATTCAATCAAAACCGTCTCCAGTGTTGGACTCAGGCCTGCCTTCTATGAGATGTGCAAAGTCCCAAGGGAGTCAAATAATAAATAAAGGAAGACACCCAATCAAGTGTTAGCAGGAACGAAAATATGAGTTTGTTATCTGGGATTCAGAGCAGAGAATAATAGACAAGAAGGGAAAACAAATGCAATGAACATCACTATTTAATGATAGGCTTCTCATGAGATCACCATGGGTGGGACAGGAACAAAGGCAAGGTGTCAGGACCAGTCTTTAAGATGCTCAGCACTTCGGTCATATTGGAAGACCTGGCTACCCTGGGGACCTTCTGTCTTTTTGAATTCAGACAAACTGTCTCGCCTTCACCCCACCACTCAGTAGAGGTCTGGGAAAGAGGGGTTCCTGGAGCAAAGCCCCTCTTCCTTCATGGATGCTCACTCCTGCTCACAGACCTCGGTACACGCTGGCATTCACACCCCTCCCTTGGCCTGCCAGTTTCCCACCTGGAGACCACAGAAATGCAGAACTCACTTTCAGAACCGGGAGCCCCTTGAAGGGGTTGGCTGGGGGAATCGGAGGAGTCACACTGAACCCCGGACCATGAAGCTCCCTCCTTTCAGACCTGAGCACCAGAAGCGAGGTGCGCTCCAGGCCACTGCTTTCTACAGAAAGCGCTGCACGGCCACACTCCAGTCTCACGCCCGCGTTTCAGAGGCAGGAGCACAACTAAACCTGGGCTGCAGGGCGTCCACCAGCCTCCTTTCCTTCCGCGGCTTCGGCGCTGACTTCCGCTCCCTTCCCGGGGCCCCGACGCCCAGCTGTTCCCCAGGCCTCCCGGGGACGCGCGGGAAACGGAGTCGGCGCTCCCCTCGGCGCAAGCAGCCACTCAGCCTCCACGCTCGACTTCCGAGGCCCCACCCCGCGGACCAGTGGGCGGGGCCAGGGCCCTCCCTGCTCCAGGCCCCGCCCCTCCTCGCTCGGCTTCAGCGTCTCCCCTCCCCCTCTTCCTCTTTCCCAACCCCCACTCTCCTCCCACTCTTCTTCCCTCCCTCCCCCTTCTCATGCCCCTTTCCCTGTGTCCCCTCCCCCTCTCGTCCCCACTCCCCTTTCCCGCTCCTCCCCCTCTAGCCCCGAAGGGAAAGGGGCACCCGGCAGAGGTGAAGACTCTTTCCCTCCCCAGGGAGCTGGAAGCCGTGGCACTTGAAGCTCTGGCCAAGCTGACCGCCTGTGTCCCGGCGCATCTGGACCCGGAATCTGCAAACACTGAGCGGGTGACACCGGCCAAACGCCTTGAAGGCACTCAAAGGGGTGCCGAGGAGGCTCTTTAGCAAATTAGGCTTTTCACATAAGCGGCTCCTCCCTTAGGGCCCGGGGAAGTGGGAGGCAGCATTGCGACTCCTTAGAGATCTAAGTGTTTGGACGCAGATCAGGCTCCCAGGCTCTCGGCCCTGAGGCAGAGTGGAGAGTGGGAAAGATTTTAGGTGAAGGAGCAAAAGGTCAGGCGCAGCTCGCCTGTGTCCTCGGCCTGTGCCGAGCCCTCTAGGGGCTCTGAGCCCCCTTGACCAAATGCCCTCCCAGGCCCTGGAGGGGCTAGAACCATTGTTAGTGGTGATCCTCTAGGCTTCATTGGAAAACAGCATTTTGGATTACGGGAGGGGATTACAACCCCAAATCCCTGGAATTTAGAGCCAACATTCTGATTTGACCAAGAAACAAAATGATGTGCTCAAGAAAAAAAAAAATCAGTTGGAAATACAAGAAGATCATTGGATCTAGAAGAAAAAGATCGGCTTAGGTCTTGGCATTGCCTCAGGCTAGCTTTAGGCCATGAATGAGTCACTGAAGCTCTCTGAGACTATTCTTTCATAAAATGGAAAAATAATCCCTCCCCTCAGGGTTGTTGTGAGGAGAAACTGAGGTAATGCATGTGATATAGTAAACTATAAAATGCCATGCAAATGTGAGCTATTATATCTTCTGAGATTTAGGGCCTAATCTAAGGAGAAAAGAAAACAGGATAGCTACCCCCACTTCCAGCAAGGCCACAGTGAAAGCCGTATTTCCCAACAGTGTTTTAGCAGTACTCTGGAGGAGACCCCAGGGACTTGAGGGCCCATCACAAAATTCTTGCAAAATTGTCTTTAACTAGGATACTTGTATTTCACCATCATTAAAAAAAAAAAAGGCTTACCATTTAGTACATCTGAGAAGAGGGAATGTTAGGAATCAAAGATTGAGTGTCAAGATAGTGAAAATGTAGTTGAGTTTTAGGCAACATTGAGTTAAGCCCAATAAAACCCCTTGTTTCTTCGTTGTTTTACTGTAGAATTCCTCAGAGCCTTTGGTGTGTTATGCTCCAGAAGAAACCATTACTAATAGCTGTACTAATGTTAATGGGATCCAAGTGTTTGCAGCTTGTAATCTCTGTCAGCCTTAAGCTTTTACCCAGGAAGACACCTATCTTCTTTACAGTGGGCGATAACCAAACCAGAGAGTGGTGCAGACTGCCAAATCATTGGAACAGACTCTAGGGGACACCTCCTCGTATAGTGAGGCCCCCACCACAGTGTCCTCCAGATGGCTTTACAGGCCCCATGTGCCTGCCTCCACCCTGCAGACTCCTCATGCATATAACAGCCTTCACTCTCACTCTGTCCAGTCACTCTGCCTTTCCTTCTCTTGGACCTCAGGAGCCCTGATGTTTGCTCATAGTGAACAGACACGTGCCCCTTCATGTTAGAAGGGCTTGCTGCACCAGTGTCAACTTATTTAAAGAGAACTGTCTCCATGAAGATAGCCCAGTCTCTCCTCTAGGCTCTTGTCCATTCTGCTTCAGTTCCCAGCCAGGCCACAGTGGACTTTTCCTCACAGAGAAGAGACACCCCCCTAGCCATTGACTGAGGTCAGCTGACCTTATCATTATGATGGCCCTGTGGCTCCTCCGATATTGTTGGTCAAGATGAGGCTAACTTGGGCATCATGGTTTTCAAAAGTGAGTTTACTATAAGAAAAATATTAAACAAATGACAGCCCATATTGTTTGTGGATAAAGCAAAACCAGGAAGGTTGTTCACAAATGGCTGGGGTTGGGGCAACACTCATCCAGTGAATAACTCATTCTGGCATCAAGGATGCCCCTAGGGTATGAGGTGGGGTGGGAGTGCCTGAGATGAGTGAGAGAAGGGAGGGGAGTCTCTCTGTCCACCCTTGAGCCCAGTGGGCCTTCCCTCGTGTCATCACACCACCAGACTCTTCATTGAGCAAAGCTTCAGCTGCACTTTAACACCAACAGTGAGAAAATCCTTACATTCTTGGCAAGAAAACTCATCAGGGTTTTCAGCCAGAGGGAAGGTGTTTTCATGACATTCCATCCTACAGTTAAGGCAGAGCAGGAATTATCTATGGATGCTTGACATCATAAGCACGGAGGAGAGGGCCACAACTGTCACTCTGCAGCAATAAATTGCCAATTTAATTATCTGCTAATGTCCCGCAATCTGTAAGTCATTTGGTATATTCTCCAAGAAAACATCTCCAAATTGTCAGCAGTCTTCCCTGCGTCTTAATTATTGTGTCACTAACTGTGTTTGTTCCACAAAATGGGTCCCTCAGCATTGGCCGATCATAGTTATCATTTTTTAATGTTCAAATTTGATGGATTTATGAAGAGTTTCTCCAAAGACTCTGGCCATTTGGGCTAAATGCATCACTGCGAGATGAATATGAATTGAGTTATTTTGTTTGTCAACACCTCAGAAGAGAAAATGTCACCAGCATGTGCTGGTGATCAAAACAGTTATGAGTCCAAACTTGGCTGTACTCCTTCTAAGGATTACAACTGCATAATGTTAACCACTATTACCTTTACATTTCATGCTTAGAAAAAAAATCTACATAGTTAAATTTTTCTACCATAATTCTTGGCCTACGAACTATAGGTAGGATAACACCAAAGGATCCAGAGATTTAGTCTTTAATAGTAATAGTTACAGAAGCAGTAATAGCTAACAGTTAACAAGTACTTACTATATGCCGGTCCCTGTTCTAAGTGCTTTGTGTGTATTAACTCTCATAATCCAACCAAAGCTCCAGGAGGTAGTTATTGTTATTATCCCCATTTTACAGATGAGAAACGGAGGCACAGAGTTTTATTAAGGTTACATAGCCAGGCAGTCTGCTACACCCTTAAAACCAGTCACCCCTACCAGAAGCAGCAGCATCTTCATTATCATCAAAAAATATTTATGGAAAAAAATTTATTGAATATTTATGACAGGCATGTGAACTGCTTCACATGCAGTCTCTCATTTAGATCTCACACAAACCCCATAAGGAAGTGCAATTATTCCCTATTTTACAGAAGAGAACACTGAGGCTTACAGAGTTGTGTGCCCAAAGCCATGTAACTACAAAGGGCCAGGGCAGGGACAATGGCTCCGTCAGGCTCTTTCCCACCGTGAGAGTTGCCTGTAAGGAGAGGATTCTGATCCTGGCAAAACAGCAGGCCCTAAATAAAGCCACTAGCACATCAGCAGGGAAATTTAAAATGCCCTGGGAGGCCCTCTGGAGAAATGGCAGATTCCAGGGTTGAAGCAGCTGGGGCTGAAAAGACAAAGTGAGCTTGAGGCATTTTATACTGACAGAAAGTAAAGTGCTGCTCAAAATAAAGCAAAACACAAAAATGGATGAGGGCATGCCGAAGGGACACAGAAATCTGAAAGAGCTCCCAATGTCCAACACTGAAACAATCTGAGCAACAAAATTAATAATAATAATAATAATAATATTAGATTATAACTCAAAGAAAAAATAAAGATCCATGAGTCCACATTGGTATAAATAAATGACTGCATCCGTAAATGAGTAGAAGAGACAAACTGTCCTCACAGAAGGATTCCACGTTATAAAAGCAGAAGGAAGAGGGAGGTAGGAAGTCACCGTTAAAACCCCACAGTAGTAATTGCTGCCAGCAAGATCCACTGAGGAATGCGAAAAGCAGGGGGTTAAACTTTAAGGAGAAACAGGATCTCTGTATAGCCTCGAAGTCTCTACCCCAAAATACTAATTAATTCCTGTGGTTGGTTTAACATACGTCCACAAATCTTTGATACGTCTTCCCCCAAAGAAGGGGCTTAATTCCTGTTCCCTTGAGTATGAGCTGGATTTAGCGACTTATTGGTAATGAGAGTATGGAAAAGAAAATGAGTAACTTAAAAAAAAGAGAGAAAGAAAAGAAAATTAGTAACTTTATAGTGGCACAACCTGGCAGACACCACCTCAACCAAGTGACCGAGGTTCACATCCTCTGTATTATGTCATGCTCAGATCATAAACCCCCTGATACAACATCATAAAAAAAGCACTTTCCCTCTGGGGTCTTCTTCCCCAAAATTCACAGCCCCAGTCTAGTCATGAGAAAACATCAAACCCAAACCCAAATAGAAGGACATTCTGCAAATCCTCTGACTAATGCTCTTCGTAAAAGTGTCAAGGTCATGAAAGACAAGGGGAGCCTGAGACACTGTCAGATTGGCGAACACTAAGGAGACAGAACAGGCAAATCCAACATGGAAGACTGGATTGGATTCTAGAACAGAACAAGATATTAGCAGAAAAACTGGTGAAATCCAGGCAAAGTCCGTAGCCCAGTTAATAGTCTCATATCAAGGCTGGTTTCTCAGTTTTGATAACTGTATCATGATATGGAAGCTATGAACAGTAGGGGAAGCTGGCAGGAGGGTTTAAGTGACCTCTGTGTGATGGCTTCAAGGAGGGTAGCGCCCCGACGTTGAGGGACTGGGTTGAAGCTGTTGAGAATCCCTTGCACCTGCAGGTTGCTCTGTGACTGTTAGTGTTTCTCCGTATTCTCTCACCAGACTGGACCCATCACCCAGTTTTAGATTTTTCTCTTTAGCATTTGAAAGCTTGGAAAGGGA